AAAAGAAATGGGGAAACACACACACACACACACACACACACACATAAAATGAGAAATGGAAAAGTATTTGTTGATGATAACGTACGATTAAGCCATTATATAGTGTATTCTGGGTGGGAAATCACATCTTATATGTTGTAATGATGTTCAGTGAATGAATGTAAAAGAAACGAATAAATTATAAAAAAAAAAAATCCCAAGAGGAGAACGGATTGTGGCGTGACCATCTCTGGGTTGTGATTTATTGCTTCTGTTTTTCAGTCTCTCTGATAGTGCATGCACTTTTTAGCAAAAATCTCTCCTCCCCTAAAAATGAACCCTATATAATTCTCTTTCCTACATTGCTTTTTTGTCCTAAAAACTATTTTTAAAAAATCCTAAAATTACCATAACTGTCAACAATAGCTCTGTTATTCTGTATATACTTGTGACTAAGACAATAAATAGATGGGATGAGCAGTTGGCATAATGGCTATGTCACTGGACTCCCATGTAGTCAACTGTGTTTCGAGTTCGGGACCCAGTGACTTGAACTCACGCCAGGTGCATGTGCATGCATGCCCAAGATCCCGAGAAGACAATGGAGGAGAAGGGATTGCGGCATGGCCATTCCCCCCGGGGGTGATTTCTTGCTTTCTGTCTCTTTGTCTTTCTGGTGAGTGCTCGCACCCTATAGCAAAAACCTCCCCTCTTCCAAAAAAAAGGACAATAAATAGATACCCTTTAGATTTCATTCCTGTGAAATACATTTATCAACCACAAAGGTGAAATATCTAAATGCCATTATAAAAATATATATCTCCACGTTTCAGGAAAATCAATGATAAAGATTTTTCTTACTTTATGTGTTAAAGAACCATAGCAAAAATGACCAAAGTTTTCAAAAGTACCTACAAGGTACCTGGTACTGATAATTAATTCCTTAACAAATAGAATGAATACCTACTTGCACAAAGAAAGGTTATATTTGAAAAATTTTTTATAAATTATTATTTTATTTAACTTTATTTTATTGATTTTGATTTTAGCAGAGAGGGACAGAGTGAGAGAGAGCGAGAGAGAGAGAGAGGGAAAATGAGAAAGCAAGCCGCCAGGTCCAGTACTCGAACTGTGGTCGGCCATGTGGGAGTCCAGTGCCCTTAACCACCATGCCACCTACTGGCCCCAAGAAAGGCTATAATAAAACTTGCAGTAATTAATTTCCAAGTCCCAAAACTTAGTCTACTGGAGCACATGTATCTTTAAATATAGAGACAATTTTTACTCAAACTTGTAGTGGAGTTTCTAAAAGGCAGAAAAATTACCTCACTAATAAAGACTATAGTATCAATTTGCATAGGAAAGTGCCTGTATTCTTAGAATATATGGAACAGCTTTGAAAATGATAAGATGCCCATCACATGTCATTCATTGCTGTACATATTTTGGTAATTAATTTCAAATCCCAACCTTTGTTTTCCTCTTTATCCCATGTCCAGTATAGTATATTATCATAACTATATCATATCATATCATATCATATCATGCAGAGAGTATATTAAAAGAAACAATGAATGATAAACTATTTTTTTAATTGCCAGAGGGTATGTGCACTTTCCAGAGAGAAACAGAAAGATCAGAGAGGGAGAAAAAACCCTCCAATGGAGCTTAATGCTGCAATCCTGCCTCCATTTCTCCACCCTGCCAGAGTTTGGGGCACACAAATACACGTGCCCACTGTGTTTTCTAAGCTACTGGTTTTTATCCTTATTGAAAAGTAACTGAGGGTCAGCTGGTGGTGTAGTGGTTAAGGTGGCTAGAGCCCACATGACCAACTGCACAGTTTGAATACTAGATCTGGTGGCTTGAAGAACATGCTAGGTACATGTGCATGCATGCTCAAAAATCCCAAGAGGAGAATGAAGAAGGGATTGCAGCATAGCCATACCCTCTTGGGGGTGCTGCCTCATTTCCCCCCTTTGTCTCTGACAATCACACACACACCATAGCATATCAAATACACACACACACACATACACATACACACACATTCTGTAGGCTCTTGTACAGCCTATAGAAGAAATTAAGCCCTGACAACTCCTTGGTATTAGGACTTCTGATCTCCAGATTTTAAATGAATAAATTTGTATTGTTTAAGTCACTAAATTTGTGGTAATTTATTACACCAGCTAAAATACCTAATACAGGATATAATTTATGTTTTAGTGTATTCTTTGTCTAATGACAAGTCACACAGAATCAAAGAATGACATACCTAAGGAAAACGGAAGCTCTTAATATAGCTAGCATTACATTTTTTTTCTTTCTATTTATTTGCAGATATGGTCTCTAATGTAGAGGTACCTATGAGAGTTCATGACGAAGTGCACTTCAAAACTCTATCTTCAAATGATAATGATGAAAAATCAAAACCATTAGTAGACACTGAAGGGTCTGCACAGGTGAAAATAGACAGATCTGTGGGAAATACCCTGATAAATAGTCAGATGGATTCAACTGATAATTCTTTGTCTTCTCCAAATTATATTGATCAAAAAGGTAAGAAATAAGTTATTTGTTTTATAAGGCACAAGTTAAAGAAGCAATTACATTCAGAAGTTACATAATATCAAGTGTTAACATATTTTTATTTATAAATCAACAGAAGATTCTTCTGAATTTCAGATTTTGAAATATTTATTTCAAATTGACGTTTATGATTTCATGAATTCTGCATTGTCATCAATTGCAATTCTTACAGAATGGGTAAGTGGGGCTTATTTTACCAATAACAACTTACTTTACTAAAGATAAGAGTGGCTGCAAAATATGTTTGAGTGTATTCTATATAAACTTTACATACTTTTTTCCCCATGAACTCTAAATTTTATTTTTTTTTCTTTGAGAGGTTCTTGCTATAGGGTGCGTGTGCTCGCCAGAAAGAGAGAGACAGAGAGACAGAAAGCGAGAAATCACCCCCTAAGGGGAATTGCCACACCACAATCACTTCTCATTCACTCTCCTCTCGGGATCTTGGGCACGCACGCACATGCGCCCGGTGTGAGTTTAAGCCACCCAGTCCGGGACTAGAACCATGGTCGACTACATGGGAGTTCAGTGACATAGCCATTGCACTAACTGCTGGTCCTCCCATGAACTCTTAAATGTAAGTTTTCTCTTTACGTGAATTTTTTTGGTGTGGCTTTTTTTTAAAGAATTATTTTATTTAGCTTTACTTATTTATTTTTAATTTGATCAGTGAGGGGCAGAGTGAGAGAAAGAAAAAGGAAAGCAAGAAAGCAAGTCACCATGGTCTGAGACTTGATCCATCGTCAGCCATATCAGAGTCCAACACCCTTAACTACACCACCTGTCGGTCCGTATATAGATATTGTTAAGGATTTTTTTAACCGTTTCTAGTTGATCTTGAGTTTGTTTGTTTGTTTGTTTGTTTGTTTTTCCCAGCTAGGGAAAATTATACTAAATGAATTAACTAAGAAATAATGTGAACTGGGGCCAGCCAGTGGCATGGTGATTAAGGTAGCTGGATCCCACACGTCCAACCAAGTGTTTGTGTTCTGGATCCAGTGGCTTGAAAAACACCAGGTACATGTGCATGCATGCCCAAAATCCTGAGAGAAGAGACAAATGGAGAAGAAGGGACTGTGTCATGATCATCCCTCCTGGGGAATACTTTCTTATTTTCCCTCTCTCTGTTTCTGGTCTCCAGAGAGCATATGTGACATATCTGACAATTTTGAAAACAACAAAAATATATATAAACTAAAAATGAATCTTGGGACCAGTAGATGGCATAATGGTTACATTGCTGTGCTCCCATATGGCTGACCACGGTTTGAGTCCTCGACCTGGAGGCTTGAAACTCATGCTAGGCATGTGTGCATGCATGCCCAGAATCCAGAGAGGAGAATGGAGGAGTAGGGATTGTAGTGTGGCCGTCCCCACAGGGGATGATCTCTTGACATTCTCTGTCTCTTTCTGTCTCTCTGGTTAGTGCATGCACCTTACAGCAAAAATCTCTCAAATAAATAAATATGAGTCTTAGGCAAATTACTAGTATCTGAATGAGAGGTGTGACTTAAAAATGATGCAAGAGTACAAACACAACTAATATCTCAAAATGTTACCAAATTGTAACCAAAACTCCAAATTCTATTCATTTTCTCACTTAATGTAAATATTATTACTAAATGAGATATTGCCAAAAGATCTAGCATGGCACATAGAAGGTATTTTACAAATATTAGTTACTTTTCTCGTCTACTGCTACCATAGAAATAATTAAGGAAGTGCTTTTATGTTCTCATGCATATTACAAATCTCTACCTATTGCCTTTCGCCCCCAGTTATACTAGTGAAATTACAAAACTGAAAAATTCATTAATCGGTACACAGTATTTGCCTCTATCTAAAGTACTTATTTAAAAAAGTCTATACTGAGTATGTTTATTTTTATGCACTTGGTAAATATACTCAAATACGTTTTACTTGACCTATTTTTACTGAAATTCTTTATACATAAAAATATTCAATTTTAAATTCATTTAATTACCTTGTGATCTTGGAAAGTCATTTACTCTCTGAAGGAGTCTCAGTTTACAAACTAATTAATATCAGAACCTGAGACTAGATCACAGGATACTGGTCAAAACTGGCTTGAGGGGCCAGCAGGTGGCACTGGTTAAGGCACTGGATCCCTACAGGACCAATCATGGTTTGAGTCCCGAACCTGGTGGCTTGAAAATTATGCCGGGTGTATGTGTGTGTATGCCCAAAATCCCAGGAGAAGGGAGGAGAAGGGATTGTGACATGGCCAACCCTCTTAGGGGTGATTTCTCAATTTCCTGGTCTCTGTCCCTTTTTGCCTTTCCCTGGCTAATGCACAGGCTCTACAGCAAAAACCTAAAAAACGACAAAACTGGCTTGAGCACTAAGAAAATTATAAGTCAGTTGTCAACATTGAAAAGGTGAGTTCGCACGAAAAGTTGGATTTCTGGGTTTTTTTTTTTTTTTTGATAAAGTAGAAGACTAGTAATACAGTCTCCCATTCTTATATGGAAATAGAAGCACAAGCTGAACAGTACTTGTTTGCACAAACATGTACTCTTGAATTTCCTACATTTATTTCAACTGCTTGACTTTTATAGGGGTTTAAATTCATAATCCTTGGGTTAAATGCTCTGAAGAGTTCCTGCCAGATCCAGAATTCTAACATTTTGAATGCGTATATTAAACATCCATAATGTAGATTTGAATAGCTGCAGTAAATGGAAAATTTGAGCAATTTTCCAGTTAAATTTAGCAGAAGGGGTTTCCTTTCTTTTTCCTAAACATCTCGGATAATTGTTTTAACTCATTGGTAATTTCTGATAGATATGGTACAGAATATACACATTGTTCAAATAATAGGAATCAATGCTACCTTTTTTTTGGGGGGGGGGTCTTTCCAGAGGGCACATGCACTTACTTGGATGCTTGGGTAAGAAAGCACCCGTCATGAGGAATGGTCATGCCATGATCCCTTCTCCTCCAGTTCTCCCTCCTTTTGAGATTTTGGTCACACATGCACATGCACACTCATGCACATACACTGGCATGTTTCTCAAGTAGCAGAGTCTGGGATTTGAACCCTGCTGTCAGCCATGTGGAATCTAGGTGCCTTAACCACCAAGTCCTTGGCTGCCCTACAACACTACTTTTTAATCTACTTTATAATTAAGGAGCCTCTTTGAGGTTGAACATTTATTTATTATCTAGAATGCTTCATTTATGTATGAAACAAACAATAACAACGACCTAGTTCTTGCTCAACTGGTAGCTCCTGATTCAGTATGTTCTGAGAAAACCTCTTGCATCACTGGTATAGAGAATGAAAACGTGGCTCAACAATTTCCTTTAATTTTTTTTCCAAAGGATTAGATCTTACAGCCTGTGATGTAGGCTATTTAATTAAATGGGCATAACTGATACTTGCAGTTTTGTAATAGGGCTCTTCGAAAGGGAAATCAGCTTCTTGATTGTGGACATTTACTGGTTGGCATGTTTCCAATGTTCTTGGATGTTTTCTAGTAGCTGTCACAAATACTAACAACACTTGTTCTCCATATCCTTTAAGGCAGATCCTGTATAAGACAGTAAAAGTCCATACCTACTTGTGGAGAACAATACTGGACTATCTTCTACTTAGTAGAAACCACAGTAGAATAAACTAATTCATTTTATCAGTTATTAAATTCAGGATTTTTCTTTTGGGTTACAGATTTTGAGAGTAGTAATTATGACATTTAAAAAAACATATATATATATATACGTATATATATATGTATTTATATATGTATGTGTGTGTGTGTGTACGTATCACACATATTTAATAAGGAGTGAGGTCCATGAAATTGGATTATGAGTTGGTAGTCACAGCTCCACTTGCAGCACCCCTTTACCACACAAGTGTCAAAACAGGATCACAGTCAGTGTGGGAACAGAAGGGAGCAGGATGTATTAGAATCTGATATGAGGTGCTTAGTAGACTTTTATTTACCTGCTTAGAAATTTTAACATGAGCTTTTTAAGGAATGGAATTGAAAGATCTGGAGGAAGAGGTAAGTTTCTGTATGACTGTTAAGCATACACAAAATAAATTAGGTTTAGAATTTTGCATTGAGTTTATTAAGCTTTACTATTTTGTTGTGAAAGAAACTTAAGATTTTTCTTTTTTTCTAAGTTTCATTTCTTATTTTGTCCCTAATTTATTCATAATGTCTGGAATGGTAATGATGGCAAAATGGGAAGGGGCACAGCATGACTTAAGGGTAAAGAGTTTTTTTTTTTTTTTAAACAAGTACTAAAAGCTGAAAATGATCCTGGGATCACCTGAACAGTTCAGACTCACTGAAGAATTTTTATGGAGTAATACTATGTTATAATTGAAGCATCTGTTGTTATAAGAGTCTTAGAAATTCTAATGATCAAATTTTGATTATGCTTCTTTTTGACATTAATAAGCTAGCCATATAATGTAATTTCAGTACACAATGCCCAACAGGTATGAAAGTTGTATAACATCTTTAAAATGGAGAATTATTAAGCAACTTCGTTGTTCTCTGAAACTCCTTTAGGCTGATGTGGCAAAGAACAGCGCAATCTGAGTTCAGAAAAACAAGGCCTCATTGTGATTCTGAAAATCATTTGCTGTGAACGTGGGTCAGTTTTTGATCTTTTATGGCTTAACAGTTCCATTGCTACAGGAGCTTACGTTGGAATTTCCTCAGGGGATAAGATTTTGTTCATTTTTTGGGGGGTTCTTTTGGGTGATCTGTTTAGGAGGAAGAATCTGCTCCTTTTTGAGTAGCTTCGCTGAAGACTGAGAGGGCAGAATCTGGTGAGAATGGTTATGCTGGCAAGGAAGACATATATCAGAAAAGGGTTATCCTTTACACCTATGTCAGCCACGGACTCAACAGACCTAAAAATAGGGTCCTAAATTTAGAGGCCAAGTAGCTACTTTTAGCTCCTCTTCGCAGAGGAAAACAGCATGCGCCAGGCCAAGATCCTCAGGGGTTTAACTTTTGGGTAACGGGAGCTAATGGCTTTAAGACAGTTATGCCCAATAAGTGCCCAGGTAACTCAGGTATATAGATAGACCCCTGGAGCCCTTGGCACTGCAGAGGAGACCCAATAGATGTCATATTGTGTGGGAAAGGTTAAAGTTTGACCAGGTCGCAGCTGGGAGAGGTTTAACTTTGACT